TCTGGTTTCCCATGAGTCTTCTGGGGCCGCAAAGTCTTAGCACAGCACTCCATAGTTGCTGACGTGGGTGAATTAAATGTGACTTATCAATGGGACAAAAATAGGACCCAGATACAGTATTCACCTACGTTTATAACTATACCTTCTTCTTCTTTTTAATTTTTTTTAAGAACAACCATTACTGTTGGTCAGTCTCCATACAGTTTAAGTCCCTGGTCACATTCAATGATCTGTCATAATTTATAGTCAAGTTAAATTTACTTTGTTTTGTTTTTCATTTTCCCCAGAGACCCAGGGATCTCAGCTTCTTTGTTCTAGGTAATAAACAGGACTTATTTTTGGCTCTGATGGGCAATTCAGATAAAATCCTGATTTATTTGTTTATTTTGAAGACATTTGAACAACTGGTCAAACCCATGGCAAGAGGAGCTGAGCCCTTTCACCCAGAATAGCTTCAGAAAAAAAGACCCTAAAGCCTGGTTATTTGATTATAGGCCTCATAAGAGAATCCAACAATGTATTAAGTGATTGGCAATATTTTTATATCAGTTCCACCCCCATTATCTTTATTATTGGATTATGGTCCAACAACAGCCTCACCTCCACCCAATGCCCCACCCTACCCCAAATGAAAAAATTTATTCTCCAGGCCGCATCCAAACTCCGAATCAGTTATCATTGAGTCAGTTCTGATGCAGGGCGACTGCGCGTGTGCTGGACTCAAACTTGGCTCTCTCTATGGCCTTCAATAACAGCTGGTTTTTCAGAAGTAGATCGCAGAGCATTCTTCCAAGGTGCCTTTGGGTGGCCTTAAACCGCCAACCTTTCAGTTAGCTTCCCAGCGGGTTTGTACCACCCAGGGACTTCCCAGGCCCCGCAGTCATGCCTAAACACCTATTGGTATAAGTGTGCAAGTTGGTTTCTGTGTTTAAAGCCCGAACATGCTTGTTGTTATAGGGGGAGGTCCCGAGTGCCAGAAAGAGACAAAGAGCCCCTGCAGGAGCGCTTTTTCCGACCGCATTTCCTGCAGGCTCCTGGAGACATGGTGGCTCATGAGGGCCGCCTCTGTCGGCTGGACTGCAAGGTAGGCTCTGACCCATCGTGAGTTTCAAATCTGCTTGTCACTTGCATTTGCTTTGTTTGCTTTTGTTTTGTGGTCTTTTTCTCAGGAACTGGAAGAATGAAAAAAGAGGGCTTTGTTGTTCTCATAAAACTGGAATCGTTCATATTTTGAACCTTAGCCAAAACCAAATGATGATGTTGCGTGAAATTTTTTCTTTTATTTCACTTTTTGAACTTGAAAGAGGAAAAATTTATTAACAGGCGACCCAGAGGAACTCACCTTCCAGAAGATCTGACCTCCGTGAATTTTTTGTCTTTTTTTCTTTCTCTAAATGGCTCCAACGTTTAAGTGTTTGACTACTAGCCGAAAGATTGTCAGTTCAAACCCACCCAGAGATGCCTCCCAAGACAGGCCTGGAATTCTACTTCGGCAAGAAAGACCAGCCTTTGAAACCCCAGTAACGGTGCTGTGCGACACAGCTGAGGTCACCCGGAGTCAGAATCCACTCAACCACATCTTACAACAGCAAAATCTTAATCAAGGTCCTACCAGTAGTATTTCAAGGGCCATCTACCAGGTGACATCATTCAGGGATTTTCCACTAGGTGCTGGGGAAATCTTTCTACCATAAAGCCGAAAGTGTGGTTTTTGCATCCTTGGAGTGCATGGTTGTGTTGCAGCCTTTGAAAGGGTTACATAAAGATAACTCCAAAGCAAGTTATAGAAAGAGGCAGTGGTTTCTCATACTAATTGGCATGCACCCTTCAGATAGTCTATATTCTAATCCTTCCGCCAGAACATAGACTCCAGTTGGGCAGTGTGGATAGCTGTCAGTATCAAGTAACATTTAAATCATATCTTTGGCCCCAGACAAGATGCAGAATGCTATGGAGATGTTAGATGCAAATTAGTTAAAACCTGCGGTTGAACTTGCATAGAGACTCCACTTCTGTTGGTGGTCCCTTCCCCCCCAATGGCTGCTTGAGTAATATTTAGGGTTGATTGCTACGTTTACCACCGTAACCTCTAAAAATTGCATTCCCCAGGGAACTTATTTTAATGTGGTAAGTAGGGAATGGCATTTTTAAAACTCCCCAGGCAGTTATAATGTGCACTGAAGTTTGAGAACATCTGTTTAATACCTACTCTTTCCTTAGCTGTGTCATTTCTTATTAAGTGCCTGAGTAAGAAACATTTCTGAAATTGATACTGCCCCAGCCAACTCCATGCCACTGCGTTGACTCCCACTCATAGTGACTCAGTAGGACAGAGTTGAATTTACCCTTGTGGGTTTCTGAGACTTTACAGGAGTAGAAAGCCTCCTCTTTCTCCCCAGGAGCAGCTGGTGATTTCGAACTGCTGACCTGTGGTGAATAGCCCAACATGAAACCACGACCTCACCAGAATTCCTATGTATGCTGATGCTGCAGGACTAGTTTATTTATTCATTTAGCTTTTGAATTTTCATTGTGAAGAATGAGAATTCTGGAACACTTGGTTGTGTTCGTGTGGAACAAAGGAATACCGTATGATTTAAAATCAGGAAAGGGGTGTGTGTCTTTTCACCATACTATTTCATCTATATGCTGAGCAAATCATCTGAGCAGCTACACTGTGAAGAAAAACACAGCATCAGGATGGAGAAAAACTGATTAAGAACCTTCAGTATGCAGAAGACAACACCTTGCTTGCTGGAGAACCTTCAGCATGGATTACAGCTCAACATAAAGAAAAAATGTTCTCACAAATGAACCAATTAGCAACATCATGATTGAAGGGAGAAAATATTGAAGTTATGAGGAACTTCATTTTACTTAGATGCAATCAGCATCCATAGAAGCAGCAGTCAAGAGACCTGAGAACATACTAGATTGGTTAAATCTGTTGCAATAGATATCTTTAAAGTGTTGAAAGCAAAGCTCTCATTATAAGGGCCTTGTGGGAGAAACCAGCCCCTCACCACTATACCAGTTTGGTAGGCGCAACTATATGGCTATGATATACAAATGATAAAATATGTTAGTCTGGGTACTTTCGAGAAACAAATCCACAGAAACTCATGTATAAGAGAGTTTTATATAGAGGTTAAGTGTACATCAAGAAAACATTCCAACCCAGTGCTGCCCAAGCCCACAACTCCAACATTAACCCATATGTCCGACACCAATCCACAAAGTCCTCCTCCATCTCACAAAACACACACAAAGTCCTCCTCCATCTCACAAAAACACACAATGATGCCGACTGCAGGAGGAAAGCCGAGTCAGTGAATGTGTAAGCATCTCAGCGCAGGTAGGGGTCTCCACATGGGTGCTCCAGCACCCAGGGCTGCATTGGGGTAGGTCCATGTGGCTTCTCCTCAGGGATATCTTGCAGAAAATGAGCCTTGCCAGCTAAAGCAGGGAACTGCTAAGGCAGCTGCACCCTGGTCCGACCATCAGAAAGCAAGAGACCCGAGAACTAGAAAGGCGAGGCTCACTGAGCCATTTATCCCTCCGCCCTTCAATTAACCCCATATATGTTTATTGGCCAGGTTGGCACAATAAACTAACTACCTCAGCAACTATATGGTTATGATATACAAAGATTATACTAAAGTCACAGAGTATAGGAGAGAGAGTAAAATAAAGAAGTCATACACATTTCATGGTAGCATGCTCACCTCAGTCCTTGGTGGTCCACATGAGGATGCAGGAGGAAAGGAAGGCAGGAGAGACTATTTCTAACCAAGGCTTATATATCTGTGGGGGGTGGAGTAAGCCCCCCTGATTACAGATGACCACATACACATTGCCATAGGCAATGCAAGCAATAGGAAGGGGAGGTATTAGGGGGTAAATATGTGGCAAGATGGGCAGACCCTAAACTCAAGATAGTAGCCTAACCTTACCCTGTTTCCCCGAAAACAAGACAGCATCATATTAATTTTTGCTCCCAAAGATGCACGAGGTCTTATTTTCAGGGATGTCTTATTTTTCCATGAAGAAGAATATGGTACACATTTATTGTTTATTGTTTTATTAAAAGACCTCGCACTTCCTGTCTGCTCCAGCTGCGCTGCGGCCAACAGTGAGCTGCACGGTGGTGCCCGCTGCTATGGTCCAGAGTCCAGAGTTATGGTAGCTTGGGGCGGGGGGCTTGTTTTCAGGGAGGTCTTATGTTCAGGGGATGCCTTATCTTTCAGCGAGAAGCAAAACTGTAAGTAGGTCTTATTTTGGGGGGTGTCTTACTTTCGGGGAAACAGGATAGTCATCCTTGAGTGGTCCTGACTTTGCCTTCAGGCTCTCCTTCAAGGGAACAATCCCTATCCTTATTGGAAGGGAGTGGGCCCTACTTAGGGTGAGTCGGACTATACAGTCTGGTTCCTCTAGATGGCTGATAACCCTTAGGGAGAATAACCTCTGACCTACTTTCATTGACCTCCTCATGTACAGTCATTGACCATGTGTATCACGCAGCGTCTTGGGTTTGGCATATATTTGGAGGAGACAACTTGGGAGAAATCTCTCTGTATCCCACAGGGCCTGACACATGCCATGGTGTTTTTAATTGCCTCCTGGGTGATAGCACCTGACAACACAATAACAGCAACAGGGTTAGATGAATTAATTATAAGTAAGTACATTATATTAATTATGACTTGAATTGGGATCAAAGTAGCATGCCATTGAAATTCATGGAGTAGGTAAGTAAAGTGTGGTATATATGAAGAGGTGTCAAAACATTTGTGGAAAAATTTTACTCTCCTTTAATTCCGTGTGTCCATGAACTTTTTGAGGCCCCCTTCATACATACAGATACTACACTTGATCTTAGTAGCTGAAAGGCTGAGAAGCGATGTCTTCATACATACAATGAACTAATTCTCAGCCATAAAGAGGTATGAAGTTCTTCGGCATCCATTAAGTAAAGCGATATGGTGCTACCTCAAACCACTGGGAATAGAAATCCATATGAGTCAGCAGTACCTCTGTACTAGGTATATGCCCTGAAGAAGAGCCATAACACAAACAGATATATGCACACTTGTGTTCGCTGCACCACTGTTCACAATAGCAAGAAACAGCTTGCATGCTCATCAGTAGAAGAATGAATGAAGAAACTTTGGTACATACAAAAGAAAAAGGGGTGGGAAGCCCAATGAAACCACAAAGCACCCCAAGACATGGGTGGACCTGGAGAACATGAGGCTGAGCGACATTGGTCAATCACAAAAGGACAAATATTGCATGAGAGCACTACTAGAAGGCTAAGAGGCAAGACGAAGGCTCGCACACCAAAGGGAACCATGCACTAGAAGCTGACCAAAGGGAAGTCAGAGACCCACAAAAGGGCAAAGAGACCTCGGGGAAGCAGGGCGTGGGGGAGGTGAGTGATTTGAACTGGAAAACGGTTCAACCCAGAGTCGATGTCTGAAATGTAACACCCCCTCACCTCCTGCTGCTCCCCTAATTCACAAGTTCAAAAATCATCCCTTAAAAAATTGATATCAATAGGTATATCCCACCCAGAGCAGAGTATGGAGCTTAAGAAGATGATAATAACAGGCTCTAGAGCCAGACTTCTCGGGTTGGAATTCCGCCTCCTCCACTTGCTGGTGGTAAGACCATGAGTGGCTATTTAGCTTTTAGTCCTCTCTATGTGAAAACTAACACTTTATAAAAACTCATGAACTCTGATGAGGATTCGATAGGTTAATGCATGTAAAGCACTTAGAACCGTGCTTAGCACACGGTAAGCTCCATGTGTTGAGCTACTGTTATTATTAAAAGATGGTTTTCTTTGAAAGAGGTTTAAGTACATTCAAGAGGGTGTTCTTTGTGAAACCATTTTCGTTAATTTGGCATACAATAAGAAAAAGTCAGTTCACTGGAATCTTCAGATGCGGCCATACCACATAGGACTAAGAAAGAAGGGATGTCAAAGAAAAAGGGGAAAAAAGACTTTCTTTTGGTTAAACTCAGAAAGTGACAAAGTTCATGGTCTTCTCCAGGATAAGTCAATAAAGACTTAAATCTTCAACAACAGAAACAAAGGAACGAAGTCTTGACACATGCCACAACATGAATGAAAGCTGAGGGTGTTGTGTCGGAACTAAACAAGGACAAATACTTTGTGCTATCACTTACATGAGGGAAAGCCTGCTAGCACAGTGGCTTCTCATTGGGCTGCTAACCACAGGTCATCAGTTCAAAGCCACCAGTGGTTTCACAGGATAAAGATGAGACTTTCTACTTCCATAAAGATTTACAGTCTCAGAAACCCGCAGAGGCAGGTCTACCCTGTCCTACAGGGTCACTATGAGTTGGCATCAACACAATGGCAGTGAGGTCACTTATATGCAATAAGCAAAGATCTAGAAACCCAAAGTAATGAAAGGTTACCAACATAGGAGGGAGGGGAAAACATGGGGTTTTAACTTGGACTGTAGTGTGGGTATGGTAATGAAGGTAGGATAGTTTGGGAAAAGAGAGGGAAAGTAGCACACCTTGTTAATTTGGTAATTCATATCACTGTGGTATCTATTTATTTTGTATAGATGACCATGAAAAAATTCTTGTAGCAATCAGTATGCAAAATATAGTAAGCTGAGTAAATGTGTGATCAATTTTGGCTGCACCTCAATTATACTTATAAGCCCCAAATAAAGCATGGAAGGCTAGACTGCAGGGTGGTGTTGGATGCTGTTATGTTCAGCTCATTATGACCCCATGTGACAGAGCCGAACTGCTCCATAGAGCTCCCTACACTGTCACCTACGTCTCAGATCCCTTCTCCCACGGAGCCACGAGGAAGTTTGAACCACCAGCTTCTCATGTCAGCAACTGAGTGCCTAACAGCTGTACCGCCAGGGCTCCTTGTGGAATAGAAAGCAAACCTTGAAATCACTCGCCCTTTTCTGATTTTCTGGCTGCAGACAGGTGTCTACAGAGCTCGGGAGCGCCTTAGCCTTCCTCTGCAGGAAGAATGGCCGCCAGCCCACTGCTCTGGACCCCCTTCTTCTTGAGTCATTTCTCACCATGCCGTGTTTTCAAATGAGTGCCTGGCAAAGGTGAAGAATTCACGCACCCGAAAAATCTGCTTGTCACCAGCCTGCTGTTTACTTCAGCTGCCCTGTCCTTTCTTAGGTGAGTGGCTTGCCACCCCCGGAGCTGACGTGGCTGCTCAATGGCCAACCTGTGCTGCCGGACACATCCCACAAGATGCTCGTCAGAGAGACAGGAGTCCACTCGCTCCTCATTGACCCGCTCACTCAGCGGGATGAAGGGACCTACACTTGTGTTGCTACCAACAAAACCGGCCAGAATTCCTTTAGTCTGGAACTCACCGTAGTAGGTAAGTTTTGCTGCCAGGACCCCTAACCATACTCTCTCCAGAGTCATAACCCACTCTGACTAAATACCAAACCCATCTCAGTTACCCCATCGATGTCATAAGGGTCAATACTTCTTATATTGTTTTCAAAGTCATATTGATAAGCTAAAATGTCCTGTGGCTTATTGTACATATGATGCATGCAATCAGTTGGAGCCATTATAAGTTAACTGGTTGACTGCTTAAATGTAGGTTGCTTGCCCTAACACTAGGCTCTTGTGCTTTCCGTACCTTTCCGTGACTTGGTCCCTTGGCCAGGAGCGCCCATCTCTGTTTGGCAACCTCCTGTTCCCTCCGAAACTCCAAAACCAAACCCACTGCCCTCGAGTTGCTTCTGGCTCATAAGGACCCTATAGGACAGAGGAGAACTGCCTCTGTGGGTTTCTGAGACTGTAAAGTGTTCTATAGGACAGAGGAGAGCTGCCTCTGTGGGTTTCTGAGACTGTAAAGTGTTCTATAGGACAGAGGAGAGCTGCCTCTGTGGGTTTCTGAGACTGTGAAGTGTTCTATAGGACAGAGGAGAGCTGCCTCTGTGGGTTTCTGAGACTGTAAAGTGTTCTATAGGACAGAGGAGAGCTGCCTCTGTGGGTTTCTGAGACTGTAAAGTGTTGTTTTTTAATGAATCATTTTATTGGGGGCTCTTACAGCTCTTATAACAATCCATACATCAATCGCATCAAGCACATTTGTACATAGGTTGCCATCATTTCCAAAACAATTTTTTTCTACTTGAGCCCTGGGTATCAGCTCCTCTTTTTCCCCCTCCCTCCCCCACCCTCATGAACACTTGATAATTTATAAATTATTTTTATTTTCATATTTTGCACCATCTGCTGTCGCCCTTCACCCACATTTCTGTTGTTCATCCCCCTGGGTGGGAGGCGGTGTACATCAATCATTTGATGGGTTCGCCCTTTCTCCCTCTTCTCCCTCCACCTTCCCCCTACCCTCATGGCATTGCTACTCTCATTCATTATTGGTCCTGAGGGCTTTCTCTGTCCTGGATTCTGTGTGTCGAGAGCTCGATATGTACCAGTGTACATGGTCTAGTCTAGCCAGATTGAGACTGTACATATTTAGGGGAGTAGAAAGCCTCATTTTTCTCCAATGGAGCAGCTGGTGGTTTTGAACTGCTGACCTTGCAGTTAGCAGCCCAACATGGAAACCGACTACACCAGCAAGCACAGCTATTCCTTCCCGTCTGCCTCTATTTTTCCATAGCCCTGGGAAAAAGAGGGACACTTAGAGTACTTATGGCCTTCTGGGTAATTGTTTACTTCTCTACCTCCCTGGAGAGGTTATGCGCTTCTGAGGACAGATGCTCTGGCCTGTTCTGTTTATCCCAGTGTCTGCCTCAATGCTTGAAACATTCAGCAAGTGCCGAAGCCTTAGCTAAACAAATCCTGACCTTTGCAGATGATATGAACAGTCCACAGTAAAGCCTGTAGAGGACAGACAGCAAAGCATCATCACCTTCCAAGGACCAAGGACCAGGACTGGCAAGGCAGGAGGCCAGCTGGAATCCAATTGTAGAACAAAGGAATTCTAGCCCTGCCGTCTCCCTACAAAGTGTGGCCCGTTAAGAAGTCAGGGTGGCTTCAGCCTGACAATCCTCTTGACTAACGACCCATTCCTACGGGATTGTTTTTGAATTTCGTCACCCTTAATCGCATCTTGCTAAAGAGTATGAGGAGCCCTGGTGGCCTAGTGGTTACCGGTGGGCTGTGCTCCGAATGGTGGGCAGTGGGATCTCTCCAGGAGCATGCCTGAGCTTTCCGTTCCTGTCCGGGAAACCGCACGGGCTCTCGGAGTCACCAGGCCGCAAGGCAATGAAAGCGAAGAGGGGGACCCACTGCTTGCACGAGTTTGCTGAAAGAGTGAGTCTCGAACCCTGAAATAGGTGCTGTCTTGGCTTTCACTGGTATTGGCAACAACAAAGCCTTCTTAAGAAGCTCCATTTGGGGCTATTGTTGTTTTAATTAATCTGTCAAATCTTCTGTAGATGTGGAGTTTTCTAAATAAAAAGGTTGGTGATAAATTACCATAACCACTACAAAATAAATCCTCTGAATTTTTAAAGGATCTGTTTTAGTAGTTTAAAAAACACTATTTCTGAAAATGCATCTTTGGGGGGAGGGGAAGATAACACACACACACACACACACACACACACGGCTCGCACACCGGTGGGCGCAGTCCCCTGGGTGCTGCTGCTCCTCTTGTGGAGCTTTCTCAAGGCGCTGGTCCTCACTCTGGGAGGAGAGGAGGAATTCGGTGCGCGCTCACTCCGCCACATTCCAGAATCCCAGTGCATGTGAGACAGCACCGCAGGGTCCTCCCGGTTCCAACCCGAACGTGCTTTCTCCGGCACAGCCAAAGAGGTGAAGAGGGCGCCCGTGATCCTGGAGAAGCTGCAGAACAGCGGGGTCCCCGAGGGCCACCCGGTGCGGCTGGAGTGCCGCGTGATCGGCATGCCTCCGCCCGTGTTCTACTGGAAGAAGGACAACGAGACCATCCCGGCCGCCCGCGACAGGATCAGGTAGGGCCCGCCGCACCCAGGGGGGTCTGTGTGCTCTCTCTCTCCACCGCGGAGCGGGGGTCCCTTCTCTGCACATCGCCATTTTGAATACCTTCCCTTTAAGTTTAAAAACATCGAGGAATGGATAACGATTCTGCATCATTTCTTTATCGCGCGTCTGCAGTCACGTTG